GCACAGTATTCATAGATTCTTCATACAGTACGGGATACTTTTTCTGCAGGAGAAACAGGAAGTATTAACAGTAGTTTTCGGTTCAGTTACAAGTTAAAGCGATTCGCTCGATAGGTTCATTTCCTTTCACAGTTAAATTACTATAAAGCCGAATGTGGGAAAGATTGAAGTGAGCTTTACACCGTACAGATCCAATGTTCGCTGTTTAAAACGTAGCATAATCGGACGAGCAAATCACTAACCTGAACCATTTCGGTATCGAAAGGTGGCGGGATTTTTGACAGGATATCAGACGCCAAATCCTTGAGCACATCTTGGGATGATTTCCCTCCACTTGATGTCTAAGATAAGAAAGAGTTATCGGAAATGTAAGTACTGTAGCGAAAATCGTCATGCATTTTTATTTTAATTGGAAGTTTGTTATTTACTCCAAAGAGAGTATTATAAGAAATATTAAATGTAGAAATGACAACAACTCGGAAAAAAAATCCGACTTCGGATTTTCAGAGTTGATGTCATTTCCACATTCAATAATTCGTTACTCCATAACAAATAGCAACATCATTAAGGCCACTTTAAATGCAAACTGAACCGCAACAGAAGTGTGCGACACTAACATTAAGATACCTTTATTTAAACAATATAGTACTTTTTCCGTGTTTACATAGCCTCATCCAAACATGAGGAGGGTTGGGAGAATTCGAGGCAGTTATGCACACCCTCGACTGCGTCTCGGGTTTGCATAACTTTCGAGAATTCTCCCAAAAACCCCAAGTGTTTAGATGAGGCTATGTAAACACTGAAAAAGTACTACATTGATTTTAATAAATATTCTAAAAAAATACGCGTGAATCTAAAACGTCACAACCGTGGTTACATACTCTCATCTAAACACACCTATCGACCAATGAGAGCGCGCGTAGTATCTCAGTTACTTTATAAATGCAAATTCAAGATTATTATATCATGTTGTTCAAAAAAAAAAGACAAGTTCATTTTCTTTGTGTTTTTGCACACTTACCAATCTTCAAAATGAATAAAATGTTCTTCAACGAAAATAGGTCATCTAAGGCTTTGCAGGGGAGGAGAAGGTACTTAATTAATTCCCTACCTGCCGGGGTAGTGTGAGTAGAATTCCATCAAAGAGCTGCTGAGTTTCTCGTTGGTTCTTTGATATGTCAGCATTTTCATGCAAACCAAATACCTGTCAATCAAAACAAAAGTTCTAAATATAGCCCAGTGTGTTGTCACATACACACATTTTATTTTGCTTTCAAATTAAAATTACAATTATAACATGCCCGCGGATAGCTGAGCTAATCTAGGCGGGTCATGTTTACACGAATTATTAATATACAACTAGGTACAACTAATAAACAGAGACAACTAATAAACTAACGGTTTATGGAAGGATTCAAGGATCAACATTCAAATTCACAATACAGGTTCCCCCACTCACGCCCATTGCTATGGGGAGAATTTACATTGATCATAAGATAAAGGCAACTCCTACTTGTCACAAAGACAGTATTAAGATCTTACCTCAGGATCTGGTGTGAGAGGAAGACTACGGATGTACTCTAAGTAGCTCTCGTAAGGACCCTGAGTGCAGAATTACAAACAAGAACTACTTTAGTGAAACAACAATCAACCCATCAGGGTTTGTGAAGAGGGCTAACCAACTTTTCTGTAAGCTATGTGAGTAAAAAGCCCATAAAACAACAAATGCAAACAAATTCCTCGCAGTCTACTGGTTAATATGGCCAAAAAAAAACGAAACCAAAGAAGACACACTGAAAGAAGAAGCGAAGCCATACGTTATTTCCTCAATACTATAGCAATTGTAAGAAATGTTTCCATCATTTATAGACGAAAAACGTTAAAAAATCTTACTTCTCTTTCTTTTTTGTTTCTCTCCGGAGTACCGTGTTGTCTTTTTTTAATTAAAAAAGAGCTTTTTTTCAGAGATTCGATGTTGCAATTACAACATAACAACACAACTTTCAACACGACACGACACGACACGACACGACACAACACAACACAACACAACACAACACAACACAATACAACACAACATAACATAACTTTCAATGTCCAATATGTGATTCATTCCAAATTCTATATAGTTACCTAATGAAATTCAGTTTACTGTCTCTATATTATCGTCCTAGAGCATCAAACCCGGGTATGATCTAACTATGTATTTGAGCTTTTCAAACTCAAAGTAAGGAATGATAACAGTGTCCCTTGAGCATGTGTTACAAACCTCTGGTGGTGCAAAGTAAGCCCCACTGCTGGAAAACTTATAATGTTCATCTTCAGTGACCTCACGGCAGTAGAATATGGACAGAATACTTAAAATAAGACGCCTGAGAGAGCACATAAGAGTGACAAGTATTAGTATAAAAGCATCTTAATCACTGTTTCAAAACGAGGCTGGTGGAAACCCTGCTGAATGACAACGTGTTTGATATCTACGAAGATGAACATGTGACATAAAGTCACATTCCTATAAAATATTTGGCAACAGTCTCCTTTGAAAAAAAGGCAAAAGGAAACTCGCGAATAGACTGCATTAAATTTTTTACGATCAATTCTTGATGTTATTTTAAATAACTGCGAAACTGATTAAACAGGGTCAGCTTCAAAGAAAGCGGAAAAATGGGTTTAGCATGTTTGATGTGCGAGGTAAGATAACCTGAGAAATGGAGAACGATGTTGCAATTTAGTTCTCTATATTTCTTTACGATAACTAATAATTAAAGGCTTAGCTAGTGGAAGAAATTCTTTACACGTCATTCTGATAATTTCTCTTGTTTATTCCTTTGTTTGCCTTTTTTATTTGCCTTTTGTCTCTTTTATTTTTTTGCACAAACAATCCTGAAGTCTACACGTCCTAAAGATAAGTTTCTACTTAGCAACACTGCTGAATCCGTGATCCGCGGGCTCCGTAACGGAGAGGAATTCCAACGTACCTGTCTCGCTCATCGGTGACTCGTCCTCCATAGTTACACTGTCCGGTGAGATACGTCAAGGCATCCAGTGGAACGTGTTCATAGTCATTCAGAAACATCTGTGAAGTACAACGTAACCTATTTTAGGTAGTTAAGCCATGACGTAATCTCATTAGAAAGAAATGGCGCTGAACAGATCGGTAAATATTAATTTTTCAATGTTATTTCATTCTCCACATTCATGGTGGTCACACTAAACTCAAAAGAGAGTAAAACTAAAAGCACGTATGGACGACAAGAGTCTCTTTATTGGCTGCCCATTTTGAAAGTCTTTGGAACTTCAAAAGCCACAACAGTCACCAAAAGAAAGAACCACATGACGGCGTCTCAAACAGCAAAAAAGATCCCAGCTTTTGACACCGGTTAACGCCTGGTTGATCATTTAAAGCGTCTCAGGTTTAAGTCCATAACATTAAAAATCCTGTTTTAAAGCAAGTGATCATGAACAAACTGAGAAACTGAGTGACAACTTTTTCAGATTATTGCATCTGTTGGCGTCGGTTGGAGCGTGAGCAAAGCGTTAAAGTCAATCAAAATACTCCTGTTGGACAGAGCTATGGAGAGCTACGCGCAATGAAACTTCTGGTCTGATTGTATTCCGAGAAAGGAAAAGAGAAGCAAACAGCGTTTAATCACAGTGGATGTCTGGAGGTGTAAGGAATCTCATTCTTACTCCACCTTAGTCTTCGTCTTCAAAGTGACCAATCATTGTTTGGGATTATAGGCACGTGATCATGAAGACACTCTGGACTAAAGTGAACTGACCTGCTGTTGACGCACGCTTATTCTGAGGTCAGACTCGTTAAACTCATAAGGAATGTTCCAGCCGAGTGGACCGAACTTGCGTCTCTCTTGAACCAGTGCGTGAAAGAAACATAAGCTGAACAGCAGCTTCTTCCAAACCTACGGGGATCACAAAATGATAAGATGCTTCTAATTAATGCCTTCTTTAAAATACTTGTTCGCACAGACATCAGTCCCATGCCAGTTAACTCAGATTATTATACATTGAACTCACTATCTCTTTTCTGATTGGTCGAAAGCGTACAGTGAATTTTCGAAATC